AGACAGAGCCTCAAGCTGTCGCCCTGGGTAGAGTGCGGTGGCATCACAGCTCACAGCAACCTCCAACTCCTGGGCTCAAGTGAGTCTCCCGCCTCCGCCTCCCAAGTAGCTGAGACCACAGGTACCCGCCACAACACCCGGCTATATTTTGGTTGCAGCCGTCATTGTTGTTTGGTGGGCCTGGGCTGGATTCAAACCTGCCATCTTAGGTGTATGTGGTTAGTGCCTTAGCCACTTGAGCCACAGGCGCTGAGCCAGGAAGATGATTTTAAGAGATAAATTATGTCTCACCCCATTCCAAGACCTGCAGGCCAGATATCTGGCTGGTATGAGAGAAAGAGGAAGGAGAAAGTCATAGCATTTGATTTGAATTTACCCCAGACCAGGTTGAATTTTTTTAGTATTTAAGCAGTACTGAAAAGCTGTGAATCTGCCCAAGTAAATGTCAAGGGAAGATGAGAGATTTTACAAAAACACGTTTATAGGCAACACAGATAATGAAGCAACTTACAACTGTGTGCACACCAAGGACTAGTTATTACGTAAAGAGCTTGCACTCTATGTTTCCTCTTTTTCTTCTGTAGCCCAAGAACACAAGAAGCTGTTTCCTCTTTTTTAAAATTTATTTTAATCTAATTTAATTTATTTTTTTAGAGACAGAGTCTCATTTTGTTGCCCTGGGTAGAGTGCCGTGGTGTCACAGCTCACAGCAACCTCCACCTCTTGGGCTTAGGTGAGTCTCTGGCCTCAGCCTCTCGAGTAGCTGGGACTACAGGTGCCCACCACAATTCCCGGCTATTTTTTTGTTGGCCGGGGTCAGGTTTGAACCCGCCACCCTCGGTATACGGGGCCAGTGCCCTATTCACTGAGCCACAGGCACCGCCCTTATTTTTATTTTATTAAAAAAACTTTGTTGGGGGCCAGGTTGTGGTGGCTCATGCCTGTAATCGCAGCACTCTGGGAGGCCGAGGCGGGTGGATTGCCTGAGTTCACAAGTTTGAGGCCAGCCTGAGCCAGAGGGAGACCTCATCTCTAAAAATAGCTAGGTGTTGTGGCAGGTGCCTGTAGTCCCAGCTACTAGGAAGGCTAAGAGAATCGCTTGGGCCCAAGAGTTTGACACCAGAGCTGTGACGCCAGAGCACTCTACTGAGGGAGTCAAAGTGAGACTGTCTCAAAAAAACATTTTTTTAAAATTTTGTTTCAGTTTTGAATCAGGCAGCCCCTGAAACAGAATACGTACAGAGACTCCGTACTTTCTCTTTCTGCCTCTATCCTGTCTCCCTGATCTTCCAAAGTGGGAGGGAGGGGCAGTCTTTAAATAGAAAAACAGAGGAGTAATAAAACCCGCTGCCACCCTCTTGGCCTTAGACACTCACCACAGTTTTTGCAGCTTGCAGGTGGAATGTCCTATCCCCTGGCTCAGCAGCCACAGGCCCCAGTCCCCCAAGTCATTGAAACTCAGGTCCAGTTCCCGGAGGTGGGGGTTGGCTTGGAGCACGTCAGAGAGTGCCCTGCAGGCCCCGGAGCCCAGCCGGCAGATGCCCAACCTGCAAAAAGCGACGGCAGGGTGCGCCCAGAGGAGCGGGGTTCATGCCTCTGCTGACACCTCCTGGGAGGGCTCAGCACCAAGCCCCACGCTGAGCCCACACAGCAGAGGCAGACAGCCACTATCTCTACCCTTAAGAGACACAAAGAGACAGAAGCAGGTAGAGAGACAAGAAAAAAGGAATAAACAACAAAGGAGGATCCCTTGAGTCCAGGAGTTGGAGACCAGCCTAGGGAATATAGCAAGAGGGGACCCTGTGTCTTAAAAAGGGGGGAAAAAGTGTTTT